AACATACTAATCAACTGTTTCTATGTTACAGAATCCGAGTAATAAATGTGTTACCATTTCGTCTAAATAATACGTGGGTCCAATATTAGGAATTCCGAGTGGATATTCAAGGGTGGGCGATGCGCAAGAGATGGTTTGTATTTCCAACACCATCACCCCATCCTTTCACCATTACCCCCACCTTCACTACTCTTATTTTATCTTAGTTATTCACATTGTATTATCATTAGTTATCTAAAAGTTACACCTGTACAGCATGCACTTTTTAGTAACTGCTCAGTGGAACTAAAATCTTCTTGAAATTTTGAAGGCAATGAGGTGCCCCCAAAATAACACACACCCCTTCTTCCAGAGAAGAAGAAGCTGCTGACTGATTGTTAAATATTGAATTAAGAGCAAGATATGAATATTGGTGCCATAGCAGGGTTGTGTCCAATTGGGAATGAGTTAGGAAAATGCACTTCTCCAAAAGAAGAGAAGACTTGTACTGCCATGCTTGCAACAGCCTACAACCCCAAGTAATATTATGATACCTCCTAACCAAGTTAATGGAGGGTTTCAAGCACAAAAATCATTCTTTTCTCCTCCACCTTGGTTACACATCTTGCTGCTGCCCATGTCACCAGTGCTTTACACTCCCCCACCAATCCAGGTGGAATCCAGGTGGAGTCCAGACTGAGTCCAGGGTACTGGAGTGGACTAAGGTGGACTCTAACTGGACTAGGGTGGACTCAAGGTGGACTCCATCTGGATTCCACCTGGAACTGTTGTTGTATTATAATCTAGTCAAATTGTAATAGTTGAATGTCAATACCCATATGAAATCAAATATAAACAAATACAAACAAACAGGATCTGTCTTGATTAAGAGTTGTTAAGTTTTATATTTCAATTATACTTAACAGCTCTGGATCAAGACAGGCTATTTGTTTATTTGTACTTGTTTGTATTAATTTCATAATAGTATTGATATTAAGCTCATCCAATCTAACTAGATTATGAAAAAGTAGAACTTTTCAATGGTATATATTATAATATTATTGCAATCCTATAAATAGATAGTAAATAATATACAAATATAGCAAAATAGAAATTAATTTTAAATTTGTCATATATGTGTATATATATATGTATTGCTATAGTAAATTAAAGCTCACAATAGTATCAATAAAGGATGTTAAAAAATTTAAAAACTCAAGGTTTGGTCAGTATTTTGTGATTTGCAGGTGCAATTCTTATTCAATTCCAATATGACAAACAATGGTATATGAATATTAACAGTTTGTACAATCTGAGATACTAACAAATATATACAAACATGTACAAATATTTACATTTTACTTTAATTTCTTATTCCAATATGACAAACAATGGCATGTTTATATTGACAGTTTATGGAATCTGAAATATTACCAAACATATACAAACATATTCAAATATTTGCATTTATACTTTGATTTCTGTTTTATTGTTCTAATAAATATTATAAATTAAAGCAGTTCTTTATTTATATATATTTGCAATTCTTTAATCCTATTTGGTTTACTTGATTTTCCTTGATTTTTACTAATTTAATGTGAATTTTTAGGAATTTTATTTATAGCTTAGGTCAAATTATATTTGATTTAACTTAACTTATTTGATTTAATTTTTATCATTTTATTCTGAATGATTTTGTAATTT